TTTAATTCGAATAACGAAAAACTAAAAACTATCTATTTTTACTCTTACGTGAAGCAGTAGTAAAAATTTTAAATCGATAGTTCACTTGACTTTTTGCGTTGGTATGCACAAATATGTTGGTCAAAATTGAGCGTTTTTTGTTGAATAACTTAACACATGTTATTTGTATTTTGACTACATTTGACAACTAATTGTGGGCTATAAATATCTATCAGTGTTCCAAATTTGAAAAAATATCCATAAAAATTAAGTATGTTTTTTCTGTCAATTAAAGTTTTGGTACTTTCGGTGTGAAGAAAAAAAAAGGAAGAACTTTGATCAAAATTAGAGAAGTATTTATTAATGGATTGCTTAGAAATTTGGTATGTGAAATAAGAGTTCAGTAGAGCACATCCAATGAAAATATGTGATAGCTTGGATTAACACAGTCCGAGCCACAGAAAGTGGAAAATTGCTAAAGTATCCCTCCTGTTAATAACATACAGTGTGTCCTGCAGGTTGTTTTGGCCGCACGACACACTACCGTGTTTCTTGATACAGAAATAGATATCACAGTGTCTAGAGTTTAGTATACAGAGCTCTCATCTAACATCATAACGTCTGGAGTTCAGTGTACAGATTTGTCATTTAACATAATAATGCCTAGAACCCCAAATAAAACATAAGGTATTTCTTGATTTTTAAGTTTTATATCTGTTAGAACATTATTTAACTTACATCATAAACTAAATAGTTATTTTTTGATGAAATAAAGTAAATATAAAAGTTCTTACAAGCTACGTTGCTGTTTTTAAATATGTATTTAGGTGATAAAATCGTCTCCATTTTTCCCCTACCGTGTCATAATTAAAACTACGAGATAAGAAGAATAAAATTAGTTCTTTAGCCTAAATACAGCATTACGGACGTATCGTGAGAGGCAGGTTGTATTTAGAGCTGCGGTGTTTAAGAACTCCGGCTCAGGTCAACAACCAGCTGATCAAGTGTTACTTTCAGGACAGTTGTAACTGTAGACAAGTATGTAAAAGTAATTACTGGAAATTTTCAGAAGTTGTTTTAAACTTGAAACGTATAATGAGTTGCATGGATACCAACAGAACAAACTTTATAATTTTCCCAAAAATTCAGGCATTTCTTAGTTTAAAGCAAATTTCCTGCAGGTTGAAAATTAACAAAAAGGCATAGAATAATCAGAGCAAACCGGAACTTCTGGATCGAGATATTAGTCCGTTTTAGGACCTGGGAGGGTCAAGTGCATTGTAGACCTCTTCCTCCCTGTCGGACAGTTGGCTTATACACTATGACTTTGTTTCTTTGTACTTTTTTTTCACTGGTTCTTAGCTAACATCCTTCGATGCGTATATTAGTTTAATACACACTTTTCGGGCCATGTGCATTTATGGAGAAATATTAGCTTGTACATTTTCAGCATTCTTCACTAATACATGATTGCACTTTCAGTCCTGTGTGCATTGTGAACGTACATAATTCCATTTTCACATAAATACCCTTTGAAACAGAGCTATTTCGACATCAAACAATCAGTTGGCCTAGCACTATGCGGCCTATTAAACTCGAGCAGGCGAAACGAAACTCTCTTTGTCGGGACCTGTGAGGGTCAAGTTTGATGTTTCCACCTCTTCCTACTACCTGCACTGATATTTTAGTAGCACTGATAAATGTTTCCACCTCTTCCACCTGCACTGATATTTTAGTAACACTGATAAATGTTTCCATCTCTTCCACCTGCAATGATAAAGTTTTCCACCTCGTCCACCTGCACTGATGTTTTAGTAGCAATGATAAATGTTTCCACCTCGTCCACCTGCACTGATGTTTTAGTAACACTGATAAATGTTTCCACTTCGTCCACCTGTACTGGTATTTTAGTTGCACTGATAAATGAGGGTGTAAGGAATGGTCAACAAATTTCTTAAACTTGATGATGATATGAAAGTCTTGGGTGTTATTGGCTGAAAGGAGGATACTGCCGATTCACAAAATGATTTATATCATTTACTAAATTGGGCAAATAAATGGCAGATGGGTTTTAATTATAACAAATGCAAGATAATGCATGTGGGTTATTATAATTTGAATTATTAGTATAATTTGGATAAGAATAACCTTAACAGTGTCATGAAAGAAAGTGATTCTGGTGTAATGGTTGATTAGGTTGTTAACCAATCCAAGCAATGTACTGTTGCTAGTGGTAGGGCAAATAGGATTTTAGGTTGTATCTACAGAAATACAAGTCTAAAGAGGTTATAATTTCATTGTATAGGTCATTGGTTAGGCCACATTTGGAGTATTGTGTTTAGTCTTGGTTTCTTTATCTTAGGAAGGACATTGAATTGTTGGAAAGGGTTCAGAGGAGAGCTACTAGATAGTGCCTGGGATGGAGGGGTTGTCATACGATGAGAATTTAAGATCTTTTAAATTTTTTATCTCTTAAAAAAAGAAGAGTTAGAGGGGATCTGGTTGAGGTGTTTATGATTGTTAAAAGAATTGATAGTGTTGATGCATCATCTTTTTTCGTACTTAATGGTGAGAATGGTAGGAATAGGGGACACAAATATAAATAATGGCAGGGTAGGAGACATTTACAGATAAGACAGTTTTATTTTTATAACAGGGTGGTTTACCTTTGGAATGGGTTTAAGTAAGTTTAAGAGAAAGCTTGATAACTATATGAATGATAAGGGCTGGCTTTGGGGTTTATTTAGTTTAGAGGATGGGGCAACATGGATGGACCAATAGGTCCTTTGTTGTCCCTAAACACTATGTTATGTTAAGAAAACCAAGTTGCAAGTGAATAAATAGCAGAAACAACTTTGCCTCTCCGCACCAGCTACAGTTGAACTAACACAAAACAGTCTGAAAGAACGTTAACACGAAGAACAGACTATTAGGCTAAGCTATGTGCGCATAGCCTTAAGGTCTCTTTCAAATACCATAAAAAAATAGAATTTATTAAGCTTATGTATCGTCCATAACTGTAACGTTTCCTGCGAGCTATATTTAGTAGAACAAGTTATTATATGTACTTATTTTTTGTAGCCTTAAAAAAGGGTGAAATATACCACTCAACCTTGTCCTAAAATCTAGCTTCACTGGGGGACAGGGTGGGGTGATCTATTTAATGTACATCTGTATTACTAGGGGTTACAAAGGGACGAAACTAGATCACATCATACGTTGTTAACTTGGCTTTAAGCTATGTTCAGTACACGCGTTAAAGAAACTATAACGACGTGAGAAGCTTTTAGAGTATCTACACGGAACAGCCATTACCCAATACCTTATCACTTTAGGGCACTTATGTCATTACTAAACACTTGGCCACTCAGTACAGCATGTAAAAACAACCATTACTAAACACTTGGCCACGCAGTATGGTAACTGTTACGTTATTGACAACTGAACGTTTTCGATACATTATACAAGTGATAATCTAATCCTTCTATTTGATTAGGTTAGCCTTAGAGTTGACGGCAGATGCTCTTGGTTAGCTGCCTAGACTCTAATCTATCAGTAATAAATTACGGACGGATAGAGCAGGTGAATTTCTGAAGTAAACAAAGTGAAGATAATGTTCATTTTTTTTAAAAAGTGTTTAAAATCTTATAATGGAAAAACGAGTTTTTTTTTTTTTCCACTGAGGATGAGCCTAAACCTGATTAAAGTTTCGATTTCTGTATCATCATGAGGTTTTGAATGAAAAGTAGGTTACCAGATAGAATTGTACCTGTTATTGACCACAATAAATTAAGAAAGAACGCTTTTTCGCTAAAGATTTTTTTTTATTAAAAATATTTAATTAACTTTATTTTTGGTTAAAGTCACACACTATAACAAAATTTTCTAATTAAAGTTTGAAACCTTGAAACTTTCTTCTGATTATTTACTCAAAACTTTCTTGTGCGACAGCTGATAGGAAAGAAGTCAGATTTTTTCTTTCCATCTAACAGTTTTGAATAGTTATAGGTTCTTCCCGGTATTTTTTAGACCAGGCAGATAGGGCACTCGAATCGTAATGTGCTAGTCGCGGGATCTAAACCTGTAATCGAAAATACTAGCCTTTTCAGGTGTGGGGGTGTTATAATGTGACGGTCAATAACACTATTCGTTGGTTAAAAGTAGCCCAAGAGTTGGCGGTGGGTACTATCGGTCGGTTGCCTTTCCTATTTTCGATAGTCTAAAAACAGGAACGGCGGCAAATAGTCTTAGCAGCTTTGCCATAAACAAACAACAAAATTTGTAATCATTGCTGATTATGCTTTTATACTTTCTGTACTCCTTTAAGTTTACCGTTATTTGAATGGTTGAAAAGATTGTTGTTGGGCGTTTCGATGCACATTATCATCTTTAAGGTAGAAATCAATACACGCTCACATATTTACATACTTCTCGCGGCATATCGTATAACGTAATCGTCAAATAATAAGTGGATGTAAAATCAAATAGAAAATGTACTTGGCTGAATAAATGGAAGACTAAGTTAAGCCTAAATATCTTGTTTAAAATACATTCTTTTCAAAGTTCTTAATTAACAGGTGAATGTAAGGTCCTTAAATATGAAATATACAAGGCAGAATAAGCCAAAGGCTAAGTTAAGCCTAAATATCTCATCTGAAATTGTGTTTTCAATGAGATATCCTCCAGTACTATACGCTCTAGCTTTTGTAAAATATGAATGTAACAAATATTTGGTTTACCTGCAAAAGACTAAAGTACGAAATAAATAAGGAATATCAACTTGATCAGCTGGTTTTTGTAAAATTCACACTTATAAAAGTACAAGTATTTAAAATATGCGTGTAACAATTTGCGTAAAAACAGAGTACAGGTACAAGTTTCTATTTAACATTGTTCCATTCCAATATCATCCGTATTAAACAGAATAAAATCAGTATTTTTACTTTCTGTTGCATTCGTATTTTTTCGTTATTGTGCGCCTTTAAAATGCATGGTTTATGTAAAAAGAAAGTAACACTTACTTGCCGACGTGAAAAGTAGACAACAAATAAGAAGGCTGGAAGAAAATTCTAGTTTGTTCATGTTCACCACTACTAAAGTAGACTACTAACTCTCTCCTTCAGCTTGGAGTTTAAGGCACGAAATCGGTGTCCCATTTTCAACAACCAACCAACTACCTGGAATCAGCTCTTTCTTACTAGTTTTAATGAAGTTAGATATTCAACCTGTTCATTTAATAATGAAAGGCCTATTCCATATGACTTTACTTAATGATACAAACTAGGTCTACAAATAGATTTTTCTCTTAGGTATTTTGTTTGTTTGTTCTGATACTTTATAAAACATAAACAAACATATTAATTTATACGTGATTTAAAATGGTTTTAACCAGGAACAAGTATTGAAAAGTCAGTTTAAAATGTCTTTAGATCGTCATTAACTATATAATTACTTCTATAATTCTAGGTGTAAACGCTCGGTATGGCTCAGCACCGGAACGAGAGAAATCCGGTAATATTCTACATGATGTAATTGGTTTTTCAGGTATTAACAGAGTCGTACTGTTTAATTTTTAAATCTCGATTTAACAAGCTTTATACCTAAACCTCGTATATAGTAACAAACTACAAAACACACGGTATCAAGACAGAATAAGTCCTCTATCAGTTTTAGTTATAAAGATATTTCGACAACAACAACAAAGAAAAAATGTTCGTCCGTCATTCAACTTTAAGACTTTTATGTAGTTGTGAAGAAGAGTTTGTTTTTTTACATTAGCGATATCTCCGGGTAAAAACGTGTTTACTTTCTTAGTGCAAACAAAAATACGGAATGGGGAATCCATCATCTACAGTACTTTATGGGGTATTTTGAAATTCCATAAACAGACATGAACATTCCACGAACCACGGTACGAAGATTAGATCTTCCCTGTCTGACCAAACAATAGAACTGATTTATAAAAAACCTTATCTTCATCACAGCTGAGTAAAGTTTAAAGTTTTGTGGGATATAAACAACTGACTTTCTTTTAGATATAGTGTAAGGTTGTTAGGTAACAGCTTTAAATATAGATACAGTGTAAGGTTGTTAGGTAACAGTTTTAAATATAAACACAGTGTAAGGTTGTTAGGTAACAGCTTTAAAGATAGTGTAAGGTTGTTAGGTAACTGTTTTATATATAGACACAGTGTAAGGTTGTTAGGTAACAGCTTTAAATATAAACACAGTGTAAGGTTGTTAGGTAACAGTTTTAAATATAAACACAGTGTAAGGTTGTTAGGTAGCAGTTTTAAATATATAGACAGTATAAGGTTGTTAGGTAACAGCTTTAAAGATAGACACAATGTAAG